GAATGACTTGTAATAGAAGTAATAAAATCTGCTTTGTTTACAGCAGACTGGCAATTCCAAAAGTATATTGTAATAAATGTAATGTAATAAAATGTAATAAAAGCAATTCCAAAAGTATATATATTAAATTATGACTATTATGGCTCATATTCTATATGAGCATATAGAAATTATGCTGCTGTTTGTGTGTGTGTGTTTTATTGAAATGTTTTAGTTTTCATATAGAAAAATTTATGATGCACGTGTTCTTGACTTTGGAGTAAACATTTATTTTGAATCTTGTGATTAAAGTATATTTCATATAAAATGCCTAGAAGTTTCAAACATTATTTTTAATATCACAAACAGGAAATTACTCGCATAATACAATGAAACGAATAACTGTATAGGTCTACAACTAAATTACACAAGATTAATGTTTCTAAAATGCTTAATATGTCATTATAAAATGCATACATACATAAAGTATGACGTATCGTGTGTACTAAAAGCAAATTACCCCTTAAAAACCGTAAGGTGGCGCTACTCTGTTAAAAAAAAAAAGTAAGCTCCGCCCCTCACTTCCGGTTCTGTGGCTGCGGTTCTGTGGCTGTGGTTCTGAAACTGCTGGTGCTGCGGGTCTGCAGCTGGATACTATTGGAATGTGCAGGTGAACACCAGTAGGGGGAGCGCCGCTCATGGCTCATTGTTGCACCCGCCGGTGTGTATGAATGTGAGTCTGAGCGTGTGTGTGTGTGTATGTATGTATGTGAGTGTGTGTCTGTCCGTGTGACTCGTAATATGTGTCAAATAGTGAGGGGAGACTTCTCTATGTAGGCGACTAAAGCTAATGTGTTTAACACCAGAGGTCAGAAAGACAGAGATTTGTCGAAGTAACAAGTTTTATTCTGAAACCCGCTCCACAATACCGGCACATATGCGAAAGTAGCGGATTTTTTGAGTAAAACAAAGATTTGTCAAGGGAACTTCTGTCAAGAGGGGAAGGAAATAAGCCTGACACACCAGAAGAGGATATTTATTTGGGGAAATCGTAATATGAAAAAGAAGCAGGTCGAGATATTAGGTTTTGTTCCTCAGAAAGAGAACGTCTATAACAAACTTCTCCCGTACGCATACAAACTAGACCGCGAATCCAATGACATTTTGGCCCAGATTAAAGGGAACTTGGGTCGGGCTGTCCAGCTCCGTGAGTTATGGCCCGGAGTTTTACTTTGGACTCGGAAACTCTCCACGTAAGTATATTCAAGACTCTAAAATGCTTTGCTGTGGGAATTGAGCCTGTTTTTATTAATAAACAGCAGGGAGAGCTGAATGACTCCGGTAGCTTGTAGCCGTTAGCTCGCGAGCTAAAAGCTAAGCGCTACCTGAGTCACTCATCTGTCCTTGCTCATATATAAACATCACATATCTATCTGCTAATACTCCATAATGACATTTCATAATATCGAGCGTAATATTACTCGGGTCTAGTTTGTCAGCGAGGCTTCAGTCGGTAAAATGCAGGAAATGCAGGACTGTTGTAAGCTCATTTCTAAGCTAATCAGCTAATGGAGGCTAACATTAGTGCTGGATAATAAGCAACTGCCCCATGCATCACTGCATCTAGTGGTTTAGACATGGAGTCCTTAAAAGGACATTTTACCTGGAGAAGACTGCTTAAAGATTGTAAAACAGCTTTTTATTTCACGCCTTTATGGTTTGCCTTATTCATTTTCGATCTATTTAGTAGGTTCTTATTGGCACTTCAAAGTGATTCATGATTTTTTTTTTTTACCATGTTGAAAATAGACACTTGCATTTGAGACACAAGACCTTTTTAAGATAAGATAAAGGGGTTATTATTCTATTCAAATGCTTACGTTTTATGATGCATTATTTAATGACACTTAAAAAGTATTACATTAGTTTCATGCTGCATAACATTTATATGGTGCCCTTCAGTTCTGTGAAGTGTATTACTGGTTCTTTTGACTGTTGTAGAGTCTCCGTAGAGTTTGTATTACACTAAATACTTGACAATATCTCTGCTTAAATGGGCAGTGTTTACAAACCTAATTTCTCGTCAATTTGGCAGTCCCTCCAGGATTTCGCTGGACTTTTTTCTGATTTTTGTGGCCTAAATTGACTGATTTTGCTGCGGCTTTTCTCAAAATTTGCGGTGATATTTGCGGCATTTCTTATTGTTTTGCAGTGAAAATATACCACAGACAACATTCTTCTAACATTGTTATGACTTTTCTGACTTCGAGAACCATTGTAGGGCTCCAGACTAACATTTGAAGACACCAGCACCAGTGCCGTTAAGTTCTACAGAAGGTGGCACCAGCACCTGACAGTAAAGCACTCACCCTAATCGCACATGTACATCTCGGAGATGTCTATTTGATGTCTGCATTTACATATGCAAGATGTATTTTTTAGAGTGTTTGCTCATCTGCAATATGTCTCTAAGACATTTCCTGTCAGATGTCAAATAGACATTTATTAGAATGCGTGTGAAACTGCTTCGGAGACGTTTATCAGATTACACAGCAGATGTTTCCCAGATCTTTAGCAGACGTCTTACAGATGTACTTGTGCTGTCTGGGTAGTTGAGATGCAGATAAAATTAACTTCTATTACTGTCATTCATAATGTCTAAATATAATATAATAAATAGAAAAAAATATATATTAGGGAGTGGAAATGGCTAATAAGCCTATAAGTACTTCTCTGCAGCCATCTACTAGTGATAATTTAATGTATTTTTAAATAAGTGTTTGCTTTCCTACATTATGTAACTTTTAGTTTTATAAATGGGGGCAACCTATGAAGGATGAACAAATAATGTCATCACATTATAACTTTCAAATTAATTCGGTAATACTTAAAGCTTTGAAGTGCTGGGAAAAGTTGTGTGAAGCATTTAAAAACACTCGAAAACATTAGACCATTTCTGCCACAAGTTGTTCCTGTAGTTTTACTGTTAAATCCATGGTGAATGGTGGTGATTTGTGTTTATTGAACAATGTTTTTCCTGGTTTTCACATCAGTGGCGTTTGTTCTGATATCTGCAGCTTTAACAGAATTCTGCGCCGAATTTGAATGCTTCTCACAAGATTCCACAGAGATGCTATTAATTCTGCGGCGATTTTGACTGCTTTCTTCGCTGTATCTCCCAGCGCTGTGTTTAACGGTGTCGCGTGATCAAGATCAGCCCGCGGCTCCGGCCCGAGCAGACAAACGGTCTAGCGCGGATTCGTTCCGCTTTTGGTTCGTTTGAGAAGGGTCTGGCTGCAGACTTGCACTTGCACTCTCAGACACTTGCGCTTCCGCAATTGACATCACTGCTGCAGCCAGACCCTTTTGGTTCGTTTGTCCAATGTAGCTCTTGTAAATCGGTCATGATGAGAACGCAAGGATGTTCATTCCATTTTTGGAACTGAGAAACAACCTTTCTTTGACTGAATGCGTGTTGCCATGACGTCACGGGACACGTCTAAGCCCAAAATTTGCGAGCTTTTGCGAAAATTGTGGAGTTCGCTTGATTTTGCGATAAATTCAGCGATCGCAGAATCGCAAAATCCTGGAGGGACTGATTTGGCCTCTTACCTCATGCACCAAATCAGCGTTTTAGAATGATTTCTGAAGGATCATGTGACACTGAACACAGCCATTACAAAAATATATTACAATAGAAAACGATTGTTTTAAATTGTAATAATGTAATAAATGTAGATGTATTTGTGTGTGTTTAAAAGCGTGTCTTTACAGTATACTATGCTCTCCCATATATACTGTTTGCAAGGGCAAACAGTAGTTGCGGAGGAAACTCTGCCAACTCTTACCAAAAAAAAAAAGACTCAAATGGGAATAAGTTTTTAATATTTAGTTGAATGTTTATAAAGGCTGTCTTATATAATCTATTTTGAGGACGCATTTCACTATTTATGCCATGCTAGTCTGACTCCGCTTTAGTCTCACAGCTCTCTCGGTCTCATGATCACATGGTGGCCTTCGCACTTAAATATTTAGTGATAAGGTCAGAATTGCACCTACAGATAACTGATGGCCATGTGTGCTTCCCTCCCAAACAAAATACGTTTTTTTTTTTTCACCTAGGCTTTCTGAGCATTCATTGTAATATATGTTGTTTTGGGGTGGTGGATGCCCACTTTCATATTTGGTGGTTTATTGTTACCACTATGACATGATCTCCGATACCTATAGATACCTTCGGCTGTATGGGAGAAAGTTCAGCAAGGAGGATCATGTGCTCTTCATCAAGCTTCTGTGCGAGCTGGTCACCATCCCCAAGCTGGACATCAGCATGATGCAGAGCTTTGCACGACTCCTCATCAACTTACTGAAGTACGCAAGTGTCCCCAACAAACACCTGACCATTGCCACATATCTGAGAATAACACAGTCGAATTGTTGGTCGATTAAAATCTTTATTTACATGAATTACATTATTAATTCTTCAAAATAATTGCATATATCAAAATAAAACAAAAAAGAAATAAAATCAAGGTAATTCAACGTTTATTGTTGTTATATGAAAATTTGTTGTTATTTCCATATAATTGAACTCAAGACCCTGGCTATTATTAATGCATTATTATTCTTATTATTTGTTATTATTATTCTTATTTTACTATTATTATTAGTATTATTATTTGTTATAATGAATTACACTGTTTTAAAAAAGCCTTGCTTATAATTTAATGAATTCCTAATGTTTCTGAATGCTCTTTTTTTTTTGAATGTACAGGAAGAAAGAACTGCTGTCCCGGGATGACTTGGAATTGCCTTGGAGGCCTTTGTACGATCTCTATGAGAGTATCCTGTACTCAAAAACTGAGCATCTCGGTCTTAACTGGTTTCCAAAGTAGGCCTCTTGCACTTTTTCATCTTTCTACCCATCTCTGCCATCATCTCACTGATTCTAGTTTGTTGTGAACTATGGATACTAGGGCTGAACGATTTTGGAAAATAATCTAATTGCGATTTTTTTTTACCAAGATTGCGATTTAATATGCAATTATTTTTTAAAGCTCTTTATACGTCCTTTGGCTGTTTACTGTTAGCGCTGCTTAGACTGATGAGTGTATGTCACGAAAGTACTGCGAGAGCTGTAAGAGAGCGCGGACGTCTCCTTATGCTTTCTCTCACTGCACTTTGATGTCATACACCGATCGATCTTCAAGTGGAACACACCTCTTTACTCTCGCGTGTCACGTGACCGAGTGTAATCGCAGCCTCTGCGATTGAAAAATCGCAGTTTTTTCATATCGTGATATTATCGCAAATGCAATTTATCGTTCAGCCCTAATGGATAGAAGTTCAAACAAAATCTTACATGTGACTGGACTCTGTTTTATAATAGCATGGTACCTGATGACCAGGCCCACACGGACTGACTTTAAATTGGCATTATTCACAAAGTTTTACACGCTCACAATCCACGCTTGGAAGTTTGCTTATTTAAAGCTCTAGCTAATTTGATTATGCTTTCAGCTACTGTATATACCATATTTATTATATATTTATTATTAGTTATACCATATTTAAACCCATTCAACAGATTTCCCTGCCAAAATCAGCACAGAAAATGTGAAATGAAGTCTTCAGTTTCTTTGTGGGCCTGCTAATGACATATTTGCAGAGATGTAAAGTGTTTCTGTGTGGTGAACACACATTTGACTCAAGGGTCATTTTACAGGGCAAGGTGAGGTTTAAGGGAGGAAAAAAACTTGACAATGCCAAGATTGGTTCATGGGAAAAAAAGGACCCTGATGTGCTGCCTAAGATTTAGCAATTTGCTTTATCTTGTTTTATTTTTGTCTTCCCACATTTCAGTTGGGACCTTTTACTGAACACTGCTGACTCTTGTAACACAACCATTGCCGTTTAAGAGATTGAGATTGATGACTTGATTGAGATGTTATTGGTGTGTCTAGCATTGGCTTATGCATTTTTCCTTTTTTCACATTCAGTTATCGAGCAGAAGCCTCAACTAAACAAAAAATGCTTAATATTGTGCGCAAGCGGTAAGCACAGCCAGTATTTTACATGTTGCACTGTACCTTTCCAAGGGCAGCCGCTTTGATGTTTATTTGCATGTGTCCAAAATTAAAAGCAAATCAACAGTCTAAATGAAAATCCCACCACAGCTTACACCTGCATTTGTATTTATAATCTTTGTTTCTGTAGTAGCCGAGTCGTATCCACTTAATAACATGCTTCATAAGCAGATCAGGAAATGGTGCTCCTTTTAAAGTTTCTAATATTTCATCTTTGTCTGTCAAACACAATTCCTGGATGCTCAGAGGTGTCAGTCAGCTCTTATGTTTAGGCTGAAGAACTCTCCTGACAAGCTGTAACAGCACAATGACAAAAAGTTTTTGTAAATAACTGTTCTCCAGCACACCTCCTCCAGGAATGGGATAGACTCATCGATGTGACTTCATTCTCTTAATCTAAGAGTCTTTTGATTTGTTCTCTCAGGTGGGCGAAGGGTTTATATTAAAAGAGGTTACTAACCAAAGCTGCGTTTTCCAAAAGCATCATAAGCCTGTAGAGTGCAACAGTTGTGTTCTGGAAGCAAAATTTATGTTCATTTTCTCCATAGGGAAATAATTAAAGACAGACCAACTGTGAGTTTCCGAGGTTGTTAACTGATGGTGTTTACTTTTGTTTACATTATTTCAACTGGTTTTTATGGTTACACTGCGTAACTGTTACTAAACAAAAGTGCATGCATCTTGGGGAAGAACAATGTAGCCTGGAGCTACTTGAGGTGTCAGTCAGCTCTTATGTTTAGGCTGAAGAACTCTCCTGACAAACTGTAACAGCACAATGACAAAAAGTTTTTGTAAATAACTGTTCTCCAGCACACCTCCTCCAGGAATGGGATAGACTCATCGCTGTGACTTCATTCTCTTAATCTAAGAGTCTTTTGATTTGTTCTCTCAGGTGGGCGAAGGGTTTATATTAAAAGAGGTTACTAACCAAAGCTGCGTTTTCCAAAAGCATCATAAGCCTGTAGAGTGCAACAGTTGTGTTCTGGAAGCAAAATTTATGTTCATTTTCTCCATAGGGAAATAATTAAAGACAGACCAACTGTGAGTTTCCGAGGTTGTTAACTGATGGTGTTTACTTTTGTTTACATTATTTCAACTGGTTTTTATGGTTACACTGCGTAACTGTTACTAAACAAAAGTGCATGCATCTTGGGGAAGATCAATGTAGCCTGGAGCTACTTCTCTCTTTTTATGGATATGATAAGTCACGCAGGTACTGGGCTACTCTGCAGCGGATGTCGTCCCGACAGGTCTAAAATAGTCTGAATATAAAAACTTCTTATAGGCATATCGTAGTGATTCAGGATAAGACAAAAACACACAAACTTTTTAAATATACACACACACACAAACAATATATAAATATTCATAGAAAATATATTGTTTCTATAGATGTAATCAACAACTTAAAAGTAATTATAACGCTTTAACAAAGACTTAAAAAAAAATTCCTATGGGAAAAAATGAATGACAAAAATATTTACTGAACCAACACCACTGAAAAAGTGAGCATGGACTGTTGCACTCTATAGATTGTGGAGGACAATTGTACAAATGATATAGTGGGATAGTTAACCTAAAAACACAAAAGAAGATATTTTGAAGGTTGAGAACCAAACAACATTGGAGCCCAATGACTCCTATTTTATGGACAATAAACAGAAAACAGACAGACATTTCTCAGAAAAATATCTTTGATTGTGTTCCGCAGAAGCAGGAAAGTCATACAGGTTTGGAACGATGTGAGGGTGAGAAAATGATTGAATTTTCATTTTAGGGTGGACTATCCCTTTAAGCTTACAGCGCTTTTGGAAAACACAGTGTAGTCTGTTGTCAGTCCTATTTCTTTTAGGTCAGGCTGTATATGTGGGTCGGATCACTTTGGCTCGCTGTTTTAGAAGGCAAGGTCACCCAACTTTTGCCAATTTTCCCCTTGGGTTCTGGTATCATTGTGTTCCATTTTAATCTCGATCGAAATGAGAGTGTGCTAAATGTGGAAGGTGTTTGCTTACACTTGTACTAAGAGGTGTCTTGCTAAGTTTCGCTGGGGGTGTATTTTTAGAACTAGGGATGTACAAGACAACATATTTTAAAGGGATAGTTCACCCAAAAATGAAAATTCTGTCATCAATCACTCACCCTCATGTCGTTCCAAACCTGTTGGTGGTTGCCATTGACTTCCATAGTATTTTTTTTCCTACTATGGAAGTCAATGGCAACCACCATCTGCTTGATTACCAGCAATCTTCAAAATATCTTCTTTTGTGTTCAACATAAGAAAGCAACTCATACAGGTTTGGAACGACATGAGGGTGAGTAAATGATGACAGAATTTTCATTTTTGGGTGAACTATCCCTTTAATTATTAGCTAGTCAGTGAATTATCTGAACAGCTGGTTTACAAGCCTGTCTTAAAGAGATATTCCCCCCAAAATGAAAATCCCATCATGTCGTTGCATACCTGTATGACGGACTGATTTCTGCGGAACAGAGGATATTTTGAAGAACTCCGGGAACCAAACAACATTGGAGCCCATTGACTTCACATTTCTCAAAATATTTTTATGTTCCACGGAAGAAAGAAAGTCATGAATTTTGGAATGACATTAGGGTTCGTAAATAATGACAGAACTTTCATTTTTGGGTGCACTGTCCTTTTAAGTAAGCCATGAATGATCAGGATCAGTAGACCCCAATCAGATGTGTTTTAAGGGGCTTAAATTAATGTTCTTGCATTCAAAAAACAGATGGATTGACCACATCAGAATGGAACAGAATGCAGGTTTAGTAAATCATAACTTCACACGATATGTTAAAAATGCAACATTCATGGTGCAGAAGAGTTAAAATGGCACAGAATGAATCACAGAGCCCTTCAGGAGCATTACTGATAGAAATCGAATAAATGTTTTGGCTTAATATTTATAACATTTCATAGTACATCACTATCATATTCCTCACAAAAATACTATTGACTATTTGGCACCACAGCCAAATGTATTAAGGCTAAAATCCTTATCAAATAGTTAACCTTCCTAACCTATCTCTCTGTACAGCATTTAGTAGCATAATTGTATTCTTAAAGTCATAATCCACAGCCAATGGTTTGCACTTCTTGGCCAACTTTGACAAGGTAAAAAAAATATGTATTTAGGAGCAGCTTCCTGATTTGAATTGGCTGTTAATGTTAATGGCTGACTGTATTCAGCGTTTTTGAGCTCCGTTATAAAAAGGACCTGAGGAGAACCTGATAACCTGGCATGTTAGGGTTAGGCTCAGGCTCTGGTGTTGGGAAACTCTCATATCGGGCGAGTACTGAAAAAAGTGGTATCGGTGCATCCCTAGCTAAAATCCTTATCAAATAGTTAACTTTCCTAACCTATCTCTCTGTACAGCATTTAGTAGCATAATTGTATTCTTAAAGTCATAATCCACAGCCAATGGTTTGCACTTCTTGGCCAACTTTGACAAGGTAAAAAAAATATGTATTTAGGAGCAGCTTCCTGATTTGAATTGGCTGTTAATGTTAATGGCTGACTGTATTCAGCGTTTTTGAGCTCCGTTATAAAAAGGACCTGAGGAGAACCTGATAACCTGGCATGTTAGGGTTAGGCTCAGGCTCTGGTGTTGGGAAACTCTCATTTACACTTTCACAAAATGCACTGTAGTTGGGTTTTTGCTTTGCATGTGGTCTAATCGCATCTATTGCTTCAACCTCAAATGAGCCTAGCCTTTCATACTATATTAATGCACTTCCTTTCTCTGTCTCTCCCCTTTTCCTCCCTTTAGCTCAGTGGAGAATGTGTTGAAGACACTAGTCAAGAGCTGCAGACTGTAAGTGCTCTTTCAGTCTTCCGTCATTCACTAATGTGCCTGTAAATGTTCGACCCCTTTCACAAAAGAATTGCACATGTGTTAATCAGCTTTCACACTGAGCCGATTACAGCTCTCTTAACACATTATACTGTTGACCGTTTCATTCATATAACAACCACTTTTCATCATTTTGCAAGAGCTCACATAACAAATAAACAACCATGGATCTGAGAAAATAGCATGTGATTTGGTTCTCATAATGTTTGTGTGTGTGTGTGTCTGTGTCTGTGCATAGTTATTTCCCTGAGTCAGCTACACAGGAGATGCTTGATGAGTGGCGGCCATTACTGTGCCCGTTTGATGTCACTATGCAGAAGGCCATTAGCTACTTTGAGCTCTTCTTGCCCACCATCATGCCCCCAGAACAGCATCACAAAGGCTTCAAGTAAGACTCTCTTGTGCAATTTAGTAATGAAATTGGGTTGGGATCTAATAATAAATTAGTCAGTATTCATAAAGTGCATCCAATAAGTCTGAGCCAGTGTAATAGGAGGATTTGTGCATGTTTTAGGTTATGGTTTGATGACATGATGGATCTCTGGGTTTCAGTGCAAAACCTGCCTGCTTGGGAGGGTGTAAGTACTTCACATTCATATATTAATTTAAGTGCTAAATATTATGTCACCATTGGCTTTCTATCCTCTGTTAACTCTTGTTTCCTCTTACAGAATTTAGTGAATCTTTTTGCACGTCTGGCTAATGACAACATTGGCTATGTGAACTGGGATCCGTACATTCCCAAGGTACTATCCTGCTTATATATGCCACTGTTCAAAAGTTTGGGGTCATGTTTTTGAAAGAAGTCTTTTACCAAGGCTGCATTTATTTGATGAAAAAAAAACGGTAAAAACAGCAATATTGTGAAGTATTATTACAATTTAATGTATCCGTTATTTTAATATATTTTAAAACAAAATTTAATCTTGCAATCTCCAGTCTTCCGTGTAACATGATCCATCAGCACAAACAGTTGTGCTGCTTACAATTTTTGTGGAAACTGTGATGCATGATTCTTTTCGTGATTCTTTGATCAATAGAAAGTTCAAAAGAACAGCATTTATTTGAAATTCTTCCTGAATATCCTTCCCAAATTATTGCCAAATAAAATCTTACTTGACCCCAGACTTTTGAACCATAGTGTAGATGATGATCTAAAGACATCAGAGCATTTTATACTGATACTTTGTTGTCTTGCTTCAGATCTTCACTAGGGTTCTGCGTAGCTTCAATCTCCCTGTTGGCACCAGCCAAATGATCGTTCCCAGATATTTGAGCAACTCCTACGATATCGGTCACGTGGTCCTCTGGATTTCCTCCATGCTAGTAAGTTTCATGAGTCACACTCCTCCTATAAAAGGTTAATTATTAAAGGGTGCATTTATTTACAGATCTTTATCATTTTTTTCCCAGGGCGGCCCACAAAACCAGGTCCAGAAACAGCTTAATGGGCTCTTCAGTAGTATAGCATCTTTCTACCACCCTTCAAATAATGGGCGCTGGCTGGTAAGATGTTCCCTATTAGGATAAACATCCAGAACAATATGGTGCAATGCAAGATCTTGTCCCCCTTAAAGTCCAGCCCACCCCTCAAATCCATTCTAGAACTGACTGTGGTCTGTGTGTTGTCAGCTGAGATTTATGTTTGCGTGCAAGAGGGAGATATGCAGTGACAGATGGTCCTCTGACAGAGTGAGGTCACTCAACATTCCAACTACTGAAACACCACTAACAACTTTCCAGTTATTGACCACCTATCATCCTAGACATGCATCCTTTTCCTGCACTCATGACTCAGTAAAGTACCATACAGTATCATAAGGGTAGTTTGCAAACTCAATATGGCAAGCCTTTGTTCTTTGAAACCAAATGTTATTCAAGAGTGTTGATGCCAAGAAGTACTACTAAGTCTTTATGCCTTTGTGCTACTTTACTGTTCAAAAGTAGTGATGCACCAAAATGACTTTTTACTGAATCACTAGTGAAAACTGGAACAGAAAATAAGGTTTGAATAATACATTTGATTAATTGAACTCCATATGATGTTCAGGGTGTTAGGTAGGTGATAATTTAAACCTTATTAAAGTTCTTCAGCAACAAACGACCTCTTGATATCTCCGCTAAACAGTTTTTGCATATTGCTACTTTAGCATCCATTTTGTCACAGTGAAGTACATCCACACTGATGGCATATTTAACTGTTGTAGCCTATCCACATTGTGTGCAATGCATGACGTAGATGTTAAATCAATCCATTATTATTGTTTTAATTATAACTTAATCTTAAAGGGGTCATATGATGCTGCTAAAAAGAACATTATTTTGTGTATTTGGTGTAATGAAATGTTTATGCCGTTTAAGGTTCAAAAAACACATTTTCCACATACTGTACATTATTGTTTCTCCTCTATGCCCCGCCTTTCTGAAACGCATCGATTTTTACAAAGCTCATCGGTCTGAAAAAGCGAGGTGTGCTCTGATTGGCCAGAGTAGTTTCGCTTTCACAATGAAGCACACAGCGCCTTCACGACATGGCGGCGGCGGCAACAATACTACAGTGAGAATAAAAGTTACGCCTTCTTTCTTTGTGTGAAGATGTGGGAAGAGTTGCATAACGCCGCCCAAACAGTGACGTAGATATGTGGGGGCATGTTAGAACGAGTAGGCGTGGCTGACTCTTTTATAAAGAATATCTCTTTGGATTTGAGACTTTAGTCTTTGCAACTTTACAGATCTTCTTTATGCACCAAAAGCTTGTAACACTCCAAAGAGAAAGGACAAATTTAAATCGCATCATATGACCCCTTTAAGCATTTTAATTTGGTACCACAAACTTTGGAAAACAGTTGTGGTATTTGAAGAAGTTTGAAAAGCCCATTGCAGTGTTTATTTTTCAGATGCTAAAGTATTGACTTCACCAGTCCAGTTTTGTTTTTAAAATGGCCAAAAAATAATCTTAATTTCTCTAGAAACCCTGTAGTTTATTGTTCTGAAGGCTGTTCCATGCGTGAGTAGCGCTACTGTCTTGGAAGATGATGCAAACTTTATCTAGCCAGGACTGAGAAAAGTAGACATTCTCTATAGTTTGAGAATCCAAAAACGTAATTAAAAAAAAAAAAAAAAACCTGCCAAATGCTGGTTTCGTCTGCAACAGTCAAGAGAAGACTATGGGATGCTGCTGGCATTTTAGATGGGATTTCCAAAAAAAGCTTAATCTCATGTAGGGCTGGGCGATATAGCTAAAAAATGTATCAACGATATAATGTTTCATATCTTGTCTCCCGAGGCCACAGGAGGGCACAATGAGCAAAATAATAGCACATTTAAATTGTCAACTCAAGGAAATAACGGTCTATAAAAACCGTGCATGGTCTAAATTAACTCATAAAAATCAAATATAATTTCGTAAATTGCATAAACAATTATGCACAAAATAGAATCATGTATTTATGCATTGCTTAATCCAAAGAGCCGAAGCACCATTCACACAGATTGCATTTAAATACATATGAGACGCAGTGAAAAGGAATAAACCTCCACAAATTTGTGATGTGTTTTCTAAAAGTTTAAACTGTTTTAATTTTGCATGACTTTCTATACATCTCTTGTGTGAGACGCGAGTGCAGCAGTCGTACTTGTCCGTCTAAAAAATGTGCTGAATATGCGGTCTGTGTGAATGGCTTGGTTTCGGGTTTTAACTTAATCAAGATCGTCTCCGCATTGAGCTACTATATTTCTCTAATATTTTGAATGAATAACGCAGCAGCGGCGCGTCTCGTGGGCTAGACTAACAAAACGTTAAAATGCAACAACGTCACTTACATCATTATCACCGCATCTCACGCGCCACTGATGACGCTCCCTGACGCACACCTAACATTCAAATGCAAATGTTTATTTTAAATTCGACTAATATTCATTCTTTATTCACAATCTCCTCATCACAGGCAGGCACAGCACTCATTTCAGCTTGTGTTCCTGTTTGTGTGTGCTGTCTGCGTCACTCATAGCACGTGCCTATATCGTGCACCATATCGAACATTTTTTCTATCGTTATCGAAGAAGGTGTACAGTCAATAAATATCGATACAGTTTTATCGCCCAGGCCTAATCTCATGAGCTGATAACTATTATGGGAGGTGCTACAGAAAACATAGTATGAAATGGTCCGTGTACCTTTTGGTCATTAGATTTTCTGCATAAAAAGAAATAAAGAGAAATGAGAAACGGTTTGATTTAAAAAATTTTCGGAAATGAAAAAAAAAAAAAAATAGAAAACAAAACTTAAGTTAGATTTATTTCTTTTTTTTGTTCATGGGTAAAAAATTAGATTATGCTTTAATATTTGAATGTGTGGATCCCCCATCTTCTGTGCTACATCGTATATGCGGCAACCACAAGCTCAGTTCGTGTAGGCTGCTAGCGGCACTTACAAGAAAAACAACAAAAAATACAACTACTATAGAAAATCAAATGACCAGAAGGTACACGGACCTGAAACTTTAGCTTAATTTTGTACGGGATTAATGAGTTTCCAAACTCCAAAATTAATTTGTTTTGGCCATCTGTGTCATTTGTTAATATCACTGCCCTCTTCTCCAGATGAAGTTGATGAAGCTTCTACAGCGTCTGCCTGCCAGTGTTGTTCGGCGGCTACATCGGGAGCGCTATAAGAAACCCTGCTGGATCACCCCTGTTCCCGCCAGTCACAGACTCACGGACCAGGATGTGACAGACTTTGTGGAGAGCATGAAGCAGCCGGTACTGATGGCCATGTTCAGCAAAACAGGCAGCATGGATGCAGCTCAGGCCTTGCAGAACCTGGCCCTGATGAGACCAGAGCTGGTCATCCCACCTGTGCTGGAGAAGTGAGTGTGTGCAGCTGCTGGAGATGTTCAGGGCCTGTAGACGCCAATATAAGGCATATAACACTGACTAATCAGGCTAATTTACATAAAAAGATTTACATAAAAAGAAGACCAGCAAAGTGAATTCACCCCCACAGTCTTTTTTTTTTTTTATCTATTCTGATAAATTTGTTAGTATATGATAATGTATAACTGATTAAATGTTTTAAAAATTTATATTTTATATATATTTATATTAAAAAAATAATTTTGTAGTATTTAAAAATTTGTTGAAGATGAGTTGCAGTATAAATTCATTAGTTAAAGTCATAAAGCTTTATCATAGCCTGTATAGTGGCTCCTTTTATTCACTGTCGGGATTTACAAATCCAGTCTTTGTAAATAGGCTTTGTAAGTAGTCGTTTTAGAATCCAGCTGGACTTTTTCCCAACTAAAAGCTAATGTGTATGTGCTGCCCCCTGCAGGACGTATCCTGCTATGGAGACACTGACGGAGCCACACCAGCTTACTGCTACTCTCAGCTGCATGATTGGTATGGCCCGCAGTCTTCTCAGCGGTGGCCGACATTATCCCGAAGGTCCCGCACACGTCCTGCCCCTGCTAATGAGAGCACTGCCTGGTGTTGACCCTAATGACTTCAGCAAATGCATGGTGGGTAAACTGTGAAATAAACATTAGCAATGGTGTTCTTGAAACAATTAAATAAATAATAATATGACAGTTAAGAATTTTGATTTCTTGTTGTTGCTCTCTCGGCTGATTTTATTCATAATTGACTTAAAATGATGTTCACATATATTTTGTTTTTAGATCACGTTCCAGTTCATTGCTACTTTTACTACTTTAGTGCTTTTGGTGGATTGTTCATCAGCCCTCCATGAGAAGAATGACTTGACAGAGGTAGGGCTCTGAAATTGTATGTAAAAGACCCACTGCAGAGATTTTACATAATTATTCTGTCTGGATTCGTCATAAAATCTTTTATTTGTTGTAGATGGAGAGAGAGTTGTGTTCGGCTTCTGCTGAGTTTGAAGACTTTGTTCTGCAGTTTATGGACAGGTGAGTCATTTAGTGAGATGTGTGTGCTTGAAAAAGTATAATACACTATTGTTGTGACTTATGCCCTGTTGTGTGTGTCTGTAGGTGTTTTGCATTGATTGACAGCAGCACTCTGGAGCAGACGCGCGAGGAGACGGAGACAGAGAAAATGACTCATTTAGAGAGTCTGGTGGAGCTGGGCCTTTCATCCACCTTCAGCACCATTCTGACACAGTGCTCCATGGAGATATTCAAGGTTTTTATTACATTTAATAGGATTTTAACTATTTAACTATTTATTTATTTTTTTACATATTTTCTTTAATGAAAACACTCTTTATTAGAAAAAAGTCTCCTCTCTGTTGTCCTTAGATTTTGCTAACCTTACAAATGTAAAAAAAAAATGTGTACATTTTTAGACAATTGAGTTGCATTTATTACAACAGCAGTCTCAAACTCTGTTGTTGTTTTTAACATTCTTGGCTTATATTAATCTGCGGCTCAGTGAGTAATCTGACCTGATTTAATAATGAAGGGAGTTGTCTGACTGAATCATTCCATGACTCTTCATAGACTGATTCACCAGTTGTCAAATTTGACAGCACGTCGGCACTGTGTGGTTGCATTTGTGTGAAGTCAACGAGGACAGCACAATATTTTTGTCTATATATATATATATATATATATGTATATATATTGACTGTCAATATATTATTTGTGACACCCATATACGCTACTGTTAAAAGTTTGGGGTCAATACGTGTTTTTTTTTAATACTTTTATTCAGCAAGGATGCATTAAAATTATCGAAAGTGACAGACATTTCTAATGTTACAAACGAGCCCTGAATAATAAAATGTATCCCAGTTTCCTCAAAAATATTAAGCAACACTATTTTCACAATGTTTTCAAAATTGATAATAAGAAATGTTTGTTGAGCAACAAATTAGCATATTAGAATGATTTCTGAAGGATCCTGTGACACTGAAGACTGGAGTAATAGATGCTTAAAATTTAGCTTTGACATCACAGGAATAACTTGCATTTTAAAATATAAAAATTAGTTATTTTAAACTGTAATAGTAGTTCACTATATTACTGGTTTTGCAGTTTTGTTTTGTTTTTGTTGATCAAATATATGCAGATTTGGTGGGCATAAGATTTCTTTCAAAAACATATAACAAAAAAAAAAAATTTACCAATCTCAAACTTTTGAACATTGTATTTCCTTATGTACACCTAAATAGACTGGTGATATCTGTTAATGGCTGTTATCTGTCTGTAGGTGGCTCTCGAGAAAGTCTTCAACTTTGCCACCACCAACATCTTTGAGACTCGTGTCGCAGGCAGGATGGTGGCAGACATGTGCAGAGCGGCTGCTAAGGTAATACTTTCTCTTTGCCCATCTTGTGCTGATACACACACACAGCCGTGGGGCCACGTTGATTCAGCTGTCCTCTGCTTTGTTTCAGTGTCACCCTGCTGAGTCTCTCAGGCTGTTTGTACCATACTGCTGTAACGCCATTACTCATCTAACTGCAAGTACGTTCAAGAACATATATGACCGTTTGTGTTATCTTGAGTCTGTGTCAGCATCCTCACTTGTGTTTTGGTGCATTTCAGATGAAGATGTTTCAAATGAGGAAGAACTGGATAAAGAACTGCTCTGGAACCTTCAGTTGCTTTCTGAGGTCAAAACAACACAATATCAAACTGCACATGAAAGATTTTGCACTGAAAAGCTTAAGCTGTATTGCAAAATCATGATAGCTGCCTATTTAGGCTACTTTTTTTTATAGCCTCTGTCCTGTACTAATCCTCTGAGGCTGTACTAAACAGTAGGCATTAATATTATATACCTTGGAAGATCATTTCTGGATTCAGAATTTCAGACTCATATTCTTCATGGATAAATGACTAAATCAATCCTATAATGCTCTGGATTGATCATGTTTTCAGGTATAAAAATGTTTTATTAAACCCTACACATTTTTGATCAAAATTAAAATGCACTTTCACCAAATAATTGTTGTATGCTGTATATTTTTATGCTTATTAGATGATCAAATCCTTATATTAGCAACATGCTAAAGACTTAAAGAAATAGTCCACCCCAAAATGAAAATTCTTTCATTTACTCACCCCCTCATGTTGTTCCAAACCTGTATGACTTTATTTTTCTCAAGAGCATAAAAGAAGATAATATGCTGGTAAGAATGTTAGTAATCAAGTTTCAGTTCCCTAACATTGTATTTTTTTGTCCATATAATGGAAATCAAAGGGAACCAAAACTGTTTGGTTATCAACATTCTTTAAAATATCTTTTATGTTTCATGGAAAAAATAAAGTCATACAACTTTGGAACGACATAAGTAAATAGTAAATAATAACAGAATTTTTGTGTGGACTATCCCTTTAACTAGGCACAACTATGCTGTTTGTATCACACCCACTTGCTATTAGGAACATTAATGGAGGCACTGCCTGAAAAGAGTGTTTCAAATCAGTCACCCTACGTCTGTTTAGACACTAGACAATGATTGCTGCGTATCTCGCATCACCACCCCCTCTTGCTGATCTTCAGGTGGCTCGTGTGGATGGAGAAAAGCTCCTCCCGTACCGCACACAGCTGGTGCAGATTCTGCAGCTGACCCTGCGTTTGCGATGTAAGCAGGGCTACAGTCTGGCCTGCAACCTGCTGCACCATATCCTGCGTTCCACAGCACTCACCTACCCCACAGACTACTGCAGTGTGCCCGGCGGCTTCAACAGACCCCTGCAAGAGTACTTGCCCATTAAGGTACTGTGAATGTGTCTGGTACATGTGAGGACATTTGACCAGTGGAGACAACAGAGCAATGTATTAGATCATTGTTGATCCCATGAGTTCTCACTACCTCCCTTCTTGTTCTTTTCACAGGACTGGGGTCGTCCGGGGGACGTTTGGAACCTGGAGATCCAGTGGCATGTGCCCAGCGCAGAGGAGACGGCATTTGTGTTCTATGTTCTGGACCTGCTGCTGCAGCCAGAGCTCCAGCGTCTGCAGAGATATGCACAGGGAGAACAGGACATGAGCAGGTCAGAGGTCAAAAGTGCACTCTGTAATAATGGTAAAGACAAAATACCATCGTTCTGTATTGATTTTAAAAGTTGTGAATATTTTCTTGAGTTGTTTTTTCTGATGCTGCCACATCTCTGCACTTTAAACAGAGATGACGTTCTTCAGAGTCTGTGTATAGTCCAGCACTGTCTGCTGGGTGCTGGCAGCATGCTCCGCCCTCTTGATGGACGTACAGTCACCGGCCTGTAAGTCCTGAAACTCAGATATGAGATATGCAATGTTTGCTCTAAGTAGTGGATATGTGAAGGGATGCACAGCACTGATTAAATCATGATTATTTAATCCTTTGTATTTCATTTTTAAAGGGAAATGTTTTATTAATTTAATACTTTTATTAATCAAGGACACATTAAATTGATAAAGGTGATAGTACAGACATTTATAATGTTACAACGTTTTCAATTTCATGTAAATGCTGTTCTTTTGAACTTTCTATTCATGGTATCCACAAAATCATTAAACAGCACAATTGTTTTCAACATTGATTAAAAAAAAGTTACATCGTAAATAAGACTGCTAAATGGCTGCTAAAAATTCAGATTTACATTTCATTTTAAAATATATTATACATTTGAAAATAGAAAACAAATATTTACATTTGTAGAAAAAAAAAGAAACAATATAGAAAAATCCATGGCTGCATTTATTTGAATAAAGTACCGTAAATTGTAATATTATGTAAAAAAAATCTTCCCAAACTTTTGCATGTTAGTTCAAATATGATTTTTTTTGTTCATTCTCCTCTGTGCAGTGTACCCAGCATGGTTAGTTTGGAGGAAACAAAGCTGTACATTGGTGTTGACTACGGTAAGATTGGGGAAGTTCATAGTGGAAGCTTATGAAATCTGTTGTGATGAATGTGCAGTTAGAGTAACTTCTTGTGTATCATGATGATAGAATAGGATATCAGCTTCTCAGTAAGACATTGCTGATTTTTCCAGATGAGTCCAGAGAGAACTACCGTGAGGCCATCTGTAAAGTGATGAGACCGTTGCTACGTAAGTGCTCCTTGTTTAGAACACCTGCCTGCACACAGAATTTACCTCATCTACATTACCCATAATTCTTAAGACAAGCATCTTCTAATTCTCTTTTGTAGATTACATTCTGGAACACTCAGAGGATGACACCAAATCCCTTTTCGCCATTATCAAGGTAAGTGTGTGGAGGAGATATTTGAGCAAACTGATTTGATCATTGTTCATCAAACTGTCGATTGTATTGGATCATATAGCAACTATTAGCCATTAAAGTTTTGTGATTTATCAGTTGTTTGTCTCCCTCAGATCATCAGTGACTTGATGCACTTCAGAGGTTCCCATAAACATGAGTTTGACTCTCGCTGGAAGAGTTTCATCTTGGTGAAGAAGTCGATGGAGAACAGGGTGTGTTAGTTGGGCCTAAGAAATCTCCTGTGCCATTTATTTGAAATGTATAATTGTCTTATGAATCTTCTTATTCGCTCCAGCTTCATGGGAAGAAACAGCACATCCGAGCTCTTCTTATTGACAGAGTTCTTCTTCAGCATGAGGTAGGAGCCAATGCTAATAACTTGGCATAATGATTTGGCACATAAAAGATATTGTAGAGCTGTCACAATATCGTATTTTCACTACACTATTATCGTGGCCTAAAGAATTTACAAGAACGATGTTATCATGATATCTATAGAAATTTTGAGAAAATAAACAATGCTATCCATCAAATTCATCTATAACTTTGGTTTTCTGTTGTTTGGTCAAACAATCACACTAAGTATGTTTATAGGTATACAGAGGGAAAGATGTAACCAAAACTGTAGAAATCATATTTAAAAAAACTTACTGCTGATCAGCAGATCTTTTTAAGCAATCCAAAAAACTCCCACAATGGCTGGCTAGCTTTTTTTGGGTGCGGGTAGTGTCTATTTTTTTTATTTTTATTTTTTTTTAATATTAGATTATTGTCAACACCCCTAGTAGGAAGTACATTTTTTTTTTTCCTGCTCCACATTTAGATGCGAAAGTTGCTGGTCGAGGGGTGTGAATATAAGACTGTTCATCAGGACCTGTTGAGGGACCTTTTGCGTCTTTCCACCAGCACCTACAGCCAGGTCTGATTCCACATCCACCAAATTTTACATAAAAAGAATCCCCTTTATTTTATATGTACTCTTGAATACCCATTTTTTTGGACCCTCAGGTCCGCAGCAAGGCCCAAAATGTGTTGTTCACAGCTTTGGGGACCTATAACTTCTGCTGCCGAGACATTACTCCACGTGTCCTGGAGCTACTGGAGCCCACACGAACTGATGTCACCCAGCAACAGTTCAAGGTCTATAATCTATAATTCTCACTTTCTATAATTAGCATAATGCTGTATTTGTCTTTATTGATTTAATATAATTTCTATCATATTGTGCTGTAGGGGGCACTGTACTGCTTGCTTGGGAACCATTGTGGAGTGTGCCTTGCTAACCTACATGACTGGGATTGCATCGCTCAGACGTGGCTGTCCATAGTGCGCTCAGGCCTCAGCTCAGCTATGTCTCTAGAGAAGCCCTCCATTGTCAGACTCTTCGATGACCTTGCGGACAAAGTCCACCGGCAGTACGAGACCATCGGCATCTATTTTACAGTGAGCAGCGTCGCCTGTTTTGTACATTTTGTACATAAACTTTGAAATAATGTGGCATGTCGTTCAGACTATTAAAGTGGGTACACATTTATTGTTGTTTGGTAAATATTCAAAGGTGAAATCCAGTAATTTCAATAGGAATCTACATTTTCTGGAATTTTGCATGAAAGATTTCCCCACAGTTTCAAGTTGGTCAGTGGATTTGGTGTGTTGTCCAACAGAAAGCTGTCCTGTTTAAAAGTGATTTCTGTGTAAGCTGTACTTTGTACATCACTGCACTGTTGATAATCAACAATGGACTTTTTTTTTTTTGATGACAGCATTTTGGGGGCCTGAAAATTGGTTTCAAAGTGCAAGTTTTTTGAAAACGATGTGTTATAGTCTCTGTAACGGCAGTATTACGAATGCGTATTACGTGTTCAGTGTATAGTGTTTCTTTACAAAGTAACATCACCAACTAGTGGCCTGGCATGCAGTAATACAGCGTTTGTAATACAGCATTTCTCACTGGTTTCATGGATCCGTGTGAACAGGGATCATTTTGACATGTGTCGTCTGAATGAAATATTTTTCAAAAACACAAATGAAAAACTTTTCTGTTTTTAGTACATAATTTTCGTATAAACGTACCTTCAGGCTATGTCTAAGCTGTAAAATGGTAGCAATCTTGTGCTGTACGACTCGTTTCCCTGGATGAATCTGTAGGTACCTGAGAGTGCAGTTTTGCTAGGCCGGCACATCACTGATTCAAGCCAACCCACTCCACACATTGGCACTCCCACAGAACAGGAGCTGGAGCAGGGACTGGCACTTCAACAAGACAAAAACCATGAGGCAGTGCAGTAAGTGCTACACACATACACACTCACAACATTTAATACTCATTTAACATGGTGTAGTAAATCTTTGCTGTGTTTCCTCTTTCAGGAAATATGAAAAGATTGTGAGAGACCTGTTGGAATGTCTAGATGACAGGGACCTGTAAGTATCAAATAGATGTTTCAAAATGCTTAATTGTTTCTATAAAACCAGACACACAAAAGCATCACTCATTTGTGAATGTTATCGTGTGTCATCAGGCCTTGGAAGTTTGAGCACATTGCCATTGGCTTCCTATCTCTACTGCTAAGAGATGACTATCCCCTCCCGGCCCCAGCGGTGCTCTTCTTTGTACAGAGCCTCAACCATGATGCGCTTGTTGTTCGCAAGGTTCGTGGAAAGTTGTTGTTTTTTTTTTGTAAGTTTTGCATAAATCTGTATCGGGGTTGTGCTGTGTTTAGCTCCAGCCTGCTCCAATACACTTACCTAGAAGTATCTATTACTGATGAAAACCTGTATTAGCTAGTTTAGATGTGTTAAATTAGGATTAGGTTTAGGTCTAAAATCTGTAAGAAAGTGGCCCTCCAGGAGCAGGATTGGGCACCCCTGATCTACACTACTCTTTGAAATTTTGGGGTTCGTAAGATTTTTTTTTTATGTTTTGAAAGAGGTTATGCTTCCAAGGGCAGCATTTAAGTGATCAAAATATAGTAAAAACGGTATCATTGTGCAAAATATTATAAAATATTACAATTTAAAATAACAGTTTTTATTTTTATCTATTTTAAAATGCAATGCAAAATTTATTTATTTTTTTCTGATGGCACAACTAAATTTTCAGCATCCATTGTTCCAGTGTTCAGTGTCATATTAACCTTTAGAAATTAATATGCTAACTTGGTGATCAAGAAAGATTTCTTATTATCAATGTTGAAAATGTTTTTGCTGCTTAACATTTTTACAATGGAATGGAATCTTTGATACATTCAAAAGAACAGCATTTATTTGAAAAAGAAATCATTTGTAAAACGATAAATACCTTTACTGTCACTTTTAATTAATTGAATGCTTCCTTGCTGAATAAAAGTATTATTTCTTTAAAACAGGGCTGTATGTTAACTTTTTTTTTCACATAGCACTGGTGCGACAGAGGTTGAAAGTTTTCTAGCACAGGCCAAAAAGTTGTAGCACAAGTATAAAACGTATGTTATCATGTCTGAAAACAAACACAAGTAATGGAGTTCATCACTTAAACATGCACTGATGTTCCATACAGAGCACAAAAAATACAAACCATCACAAAAATTGTTTT